AAGGAAGGAAGGAATGAATGACAGCTGAAAGTGTTTTGCCACCACCTTCTTATATGTATTATATACACTTATTCTTAAATGCACTCCATTTAATTCTTGTCATACAAACACACACAGCATCGGTACACGTTGTGTATCAGATATGAACATGCAGTTAGTGTGGATAAGAAACCACTGCAACACATTGGAAATACCCAAAGGAGGGATTTTGGGAAAAATTACATTAATTAAAATGTTAACTGGTAGCCTTATAACAAAATCTTAGCTCTTTGAAATGTCTGCTGCTTACGGCCAAAACAACAACAACAACAACAACGGGTCTCCATTAGCATGTTCCTCACAGGGTCATGATGTGATGAGGCTGAGGGGTGGAGACAGAGATAAGAAACTCACACAGGCTGCGAGAACTCTGGAGGCTCGTCGTTGACATTGGCCATACGAAGACGCACAGTGGCCGTGCCGGTGCGGGACAGCTCACCCTTATCCACCGCCATCACTACGAATTCATACAGGTGGTTGGGCCTCTCGTAATCCAGAGGGCCTGCCGGGAATATGGTGCCATGGGCTGAAATTATGAAATCTGGACTAAGCGTGTAGTATGTGATCTCTGCATTCTGCTCCGAATCACAATCACTGGCTGATACTGCAAAAGAGAGAGAAATACATGAGGTGGGTATCAATACAAAGAAATGCAGCATCAGCTAATAGGATCAATCTGTATTTGAGTTTCCCTGTGTAAATAGCTTGGGCATATACGCTTGTTAAATGAACGACTAGAATGGTTATACATGACTGCCGATCAAAAGATCCCACGCTGTGAGTCTTATTGCATCTGACAACTACAGTAAAATGCAATGGCATTCAATAATGTGTGAGTCTGTTTCAAATGAACTTCAGATACACAGTAGCTGCTTTGCACATCAACTCAACTAGTGTCGACATAAAGGGGTAAATATTTCTCGAGCTGAGGTCCAGTTTCCCTGAATGTGCACTTTAGAAAACCAACGATTTCTGCTGAATTGTATATTACGCATTTTAGCACGATTTTATAAACAACATGACCAGAATGGATCAAGTGCATGCGCAGATTACAAATTATATTAAAGACAACAGCATAGACAGACAGACAGATAGACAGATAGATAGATAGATAGATAGATAGATAGATAGATAGATAGATAGATAGATAGATAGATAGATATATAGATAGATAGATAGATAGATAGTGAACAAAACAAAATGCTGGTCATGAATTAGAAGTACAACCCGAGGATTTGTAAAGAACAATGTCAGAGGATTTCGATATAAGCCAAGAGGAGACTGCTTTTCCTTTGCTAAAGTAAGGACACTTTCTTCTTCTTCGTGTTTTTATAATGGCGGGTGGCAACTAACATTTAAGGTGCATATCCGCCACCTACTGTGCTGGAGTGTGGACCAGAAATGTATACTTATCAGTAAAGAAACTTTGCTTCCTTTGCTCCTATAAACTTTTGCAGAGATTATTTTACTATAGGGAGATGAGAGGGTCTGTATTACTTACTATTTGAGAAAGCTTAACGGCTAACTTGGATCACATGCCGCTTAATAACCAATCACATTACAACCTCGACGTCATTGAATTTGTGCGACACTCACCCGTTTACAGATCCCATAGGAATGAATGAGAAATGCCGTAAGCTGAATCCCACCTGTTGCAAAAAGTCAGTGACTTCTCTTATAAAACTGCATTTATTTTGTGGTAAACTCTAAAAGTAGTTAAATCCAAAAGTATTATTTAGTGTAAAACATGTTGAAGATTAGCAGATAGGCTGTCAATTCATTAAATGATAAGCCGTTTCCTCAAAAAAAAAAAAGCTGTTTTTTCAGAATAGTTGTCACGAATTCGGTTCATGGACTTCCGTTTATTCACCACCAGATGTCACACTTTCCATTACATTGACTCTCGCACTACACAAACTGTTGCATAGCACCCCAGACTACATTTCCCATCATTCTTTGCACAATTTGCACACTGCCCTGATTGCACTCATTGCACACAGCTGTTTCTAATTACCTCATTCACTATATAACACCCACTCTAACCACCTTTCTCTGCTGAGTATTATTTAGCCTGTACCCCTTTCCGAGTCTCCGTGTTTTCCTTGTTTTGCGGTTTTTGATCTCTGCCTGTTTTTCTCCCTCTCGTCTCGCCCCTGTGATTCTGTCTGCCGATCGGTGACCTACGCTAGCCCTAGGACTATTCTTGTGTTTTGCCCGCCATATACCTGTTTGCCATTGTTTGACCCTGCCTGTTTACCACGTCTCTCTATTAAAAGCTTGCAGATGGATCCACACGTCTCACGTCTCGTCAGCCCCGTTACAATAGTGAAGCCTCTCCTCCATTGACATCCATTAAAAAAGGGCCCCTAGTCTCCTTTCCCACGTACTGCCAGACCGGAAGCGTTAGCTTTAGCCGTTACGCTTTTTCAGCTAATGGTTGCAGGCTTGCCTTCTAGTGGCTTTGACTTGTGCCTTGTCCAAATACCCGCACTTGCAGTCTTGGCCACTTGAGAGTGCGTGCACGCGACAGGAAATAAGTGCGCAAGACTGTCCCAGGTCTTAAAAACGCTGAAGCGGAGTGCCCTGAACACACTAAATCCACACTATCTCAAATACCGCTCTGGAGCTTAGTGTATCCCATCATGCATCATCTTCTGGAAATAAATCGTGAGACTTTTTGCCAAGATCGCGAGAGGTCACGGAAACCTTTCCAATGTAAGTTAAATATTACTAATAATTAGATATTATATATAATTTGGTAGTAAAACAAAGTGCTACACATTTTATTGGTGCAAAGGTGAGTATTTATTTTGTACATAATTTGCAACTGCTTTTTATCACTTCATTAGAAATTAAAGTGTCATATTTTATAGGGACTACTGAACATTAAAATGAATAGTATTGAAAATAAAAAAATTATATGGGACTATATGATCCTGTCCTGCATCAGAAAGCTGGTGGATTTTATTAGTTTTGACTGTGCAAAGTTCTGTATTATGTTCTACATGTACTTCACGAAAGACATGCTGTAGATCTGTCTGACGTTACAGTGCAACATGTAAGCACATTATTTTTATTTTTGTTATCAAATTATTGTACAGTATCAACAAATGAAACAGTTTTGACTGTCCTGGTGTGTACATGAATGAGTGTGAAATACCTGCTAATTACGTTGCTTCCGATCACTTATACTGGGCAATTTTTCCTTTTAAATTGGCTTATTCTGACTGTTGACACTGAAAATGATGCATGTGTTTTTCAGATGGTATCGGTTAATATCTTGATTGCCATTTTGACATAGGCTGGTGTCTACCTGGATATTTATATTTGGTAATTCTCTTTAATGTATTTGCCCTGATTTGATCTGTTTTGTCATCTTTGTTTTGACCTTGATTGACACGGCAATACAATTCTATCACATTATTTGTTAATGTTTTGGGCAGTTTTTTTTGTTGGATTGAGCGGGCTTTGATGAGCTTTTGGACTGGAAATCATCCACTTGATCTGAAAACACTGCCCTTCAGTCAGGGGCGTAGCCATCATTTCAGAAATGAGGGGGACAGAAATTATATATATATATATTTAAAAAAAAAAGTGTATATATATATAAAACATTACAATATAACATTTCTGTAATCTATATAACCTACCAGTCAACAGTTTTTGAACAGTAAGATTTTTAATGTTTTATAAAGAAGTCTCTTCTGCTCACCAAGCCTGCATTTATTTGATCCAAAGTACAGCAAAAGCAGTAACGTTGTGAAATATTTTTACTATTTAAAATAACTGCTTTCTATTT